CCAGGGGACTCCCCCCCCCCCCCAGTCTCTCAGGTGCATCCACAGCAGTTGGTGAGAACAAGGACCCTGCAGTTGAAGGATGATCACTGACCTGTCCAGCTGGCCGCTGCCCTGGTAACTGAAGGCGCACCTCATCATGGTGTCCAGCGTCATTGCAGATACGTGTTCCAAGATCTCCAGAGGAGTGTCCTGATCAATGAGGTTCTCCCATTTATCCTTTGCAGAGAAGGGACATTGACTTTCTCAATTCCTGCCAAAGTTCTGTGTTAATGAGACCTGGCTCTTCTGCCTCTCCGTACATGTCCTGATGGGATTTCCTCAATTTTTAAAAGCACACCATGACCCTCAAAACAAGTGTATGTAAAGTGATGCCCATTTCCTCACATAGCATTGTTATTTTATTTTAAAAATAAAACCTGTGGTCTTCTAGTATTCAATATTTGCTTTTAATTTTAGAGGCAACTTATGATGATCAGAACCTTTTGGCAGACTGGAAAACATTGTTTTGGGGGGAGTATAAAGAAATGAGGTATTTTTTGAAGTCCTGATTGCCAAGTTACACCTGAGGGACAGGTGAACCCCACTTTTAAGGAGTAAATATGTCTAGACAAGAGACATTTATGGAGCAAAAGGAGGTACATCAGGGACATTTATTCTGTTTTTTATCAGACTTCAGTGGAAAATAGTTTCGTGAGAAATAAAAATCCTCGTGGACAGCAATTGTGTGGCAGGACATGCACTGAGCATGCAGACCTGGTGCCCATTTCACTCCATGGAGTGGCTCAAATCCAAGCAGATCTTGGCTGAATAACATCCTGGGATCCCCCTCACCAGTGAACCTGCCACTGCACAGGGCACCCAGGGCAAGTTTGTCCCATCCAATAGACTCTCCTCAGTAGCAGAGTCATTTGGGCCTCTGTCTGGAAGTTTCCTGGGATAAAGTCTCATTGAACCATCACCAACATGATAGCACATGTACGTGACGACACCTGTGAGAAGGAGCTTGCCTATCCATGCTCTATGTTAGGGAAGCCAGAACGTGTGGCCACAATGGCCAGTGTATATATGTCTGCAGACTTATGTGTGTCTGTTAGGCACATCTGTGTGCCTGGATATGTGTGTTTGTTCCAGTGGTGTGTCTGGATTTGTATCTCCAAGTGCAGTGAGCACAAGTATATTGGGATGTGAGGGTCATACACCGTGGGTGATAGCAGGTGAATATGTCTGTGAGAACAGGTGGATGTGTCCATGTGACAATGTGTCTGAGCCCTTCACAATGAGCTTCTATTCTTCAGAAATAGGCTGTGCACATCTGGATCTGGGGGTGTTAGTCCATGCAGTATCTGATGGCTGTCCTGGGGGCATGTGTTTGGTGGAATCAGAGTGTGTGCTGTGAGCGGGTGTGTGAAGCTGAGAGAGACAGACTTACCAGCATCACTTGGACAGAGTCTGCCATGAGCCTCACGTAGGGCTTGAGGATGTCAAAGTGGAAGGCTGGGGTCAGCATCCTGCGGTGCTGGAACCATGTCTGCCCTTCCAACAAGATCAAACCATGCCCTGGGCCAGAGATGGGTGTGAGTACGTGTGTCAAGGAGATGGGATTACAGGGATGACTGAGGACAATTTAGGAGAGAGTGAGGAGGGTAGTTTTTCTAATGGCAGAAATCTCAGAAGACTGGATTTCTTGGGAGGAAAAAAGGTAGGGAAGTCATAGCATGTTTTCAGGAATGTGAATTTCCCAGTTGGGCTAGCACATATAAGTGTTTATGATGCCTGTGAGATAGGGGTTGAAAAGAGTTGGGGCAGGTTAAGGAAAGACTTCAATAAGGGTCTAGCTGATGTGTTTGGAGAGAACTGAGAAGAGATGTGGAAAGGAGCTTAGCTGAGGTGATTCCCTCCATCTGTAGGTAGGGGTGTGGTCTTTTTAGAAGAGAAGTTAAGGAGGATATAGGTGGTGACTGTGGTGTTCTGTCACCTGTGGTTCTCTGGGAACCAAAGAGAAAGTTCTTGGAAGCCTAATTGGCAAGTGGACTACAGTGGTAGTTTAGATGTACATACCAATCCATGGAGTCACCAATCTGTAGACATCACGGGCCTTCTGGTCTAGAAGGTGAAGAAGGATATTAGTGAGAAACCGGGCCGCCATATAAGGAAGTCCCTGTGGTCCAGATCATTTACTGCCATCAGTTCTTTAGGTCTGTTATTTGGCAATTTGTCCCATGTAACTGTACCCCATTCCCTTATATATCTGCCTTGGAAGTCAGTGTGGGCTCAGGAAAGCAGACACAGTACCACCATCAGAACATTTGTTGGCCCAAGATCATCAGTTGGTAAGTAAGACAGGCTATATCCTCAATGCCAAAGAAGGATACAGAGCCTTTGGGTGTTCTACAGATGACTGTGGCTTCATCATCCCCCAATCCAGGGTGGGCAACAATTATAGGTTCCAAACCCAGTCAGTGCAGATGTGAAATTTGTCTTTCAGAGTTGAAGCAATTTAAACAACAGATAGCCTTGCATCTATCTTTTCTTAAACATTCAGTACTCTAAAAATAAAGCTGGCCTTAGATTGGATTGTGGATGATTAGTAGAGGGTTTAGACATTGATGTTTGAACTGCCAGTTTCTTCTGTAATTCCACAGACATAGCACTTGTTCTCAAGAGGGAAGAGGTACTCCACCTGGGATGTGGGTCTCAGTCTCACCTGATCTCCCCAGAATCACTTTCATGTAGTCTGGATCATAGACTTGGAAAAGGACTTTGCTTCCCCATAGCCAACGAGGACAGGCACTCGGGAATTTCTCTACCCTTTTCAGAATCTGTTGCAGCTCCCGGTCTTTGTAAAACTGTCACAGAAGGAACAACAATCAACACATATTTTCTTCTTTTTTGAAGTTTATTTACTTATTCCATGAGAAAGCTTGTGGACAAACAATGTTCCAATAGGATCTTCGCATTGTGATCCACTCTCAGTTTCCAAGCCTGGAATTTGGGTATGTGAATTCCTGGCATACTCAGTGAGTTCTCCATGTATGAACCAACAACCTTGCCATACGGCATTGCCTCACAGAGGCTATTTTTACCACTCTGCCACTCTCTGGCCCCCAGTAGATATTTTCTTCTTATGTTTAGTACTTGAAGAGAGGGATTCAGAGTAGAATGGTCCAAGGAAGGTAGTTCTGATCTATCAACACAGGTTAGGTGGTCAGAACTGTTGGTGAAGGTTTGGGTTCTTATCCAGCCCCTTATCCAATGTCTTCCCAATACCTTGACCAAAGCTCAAATTCTTTCTCTTCATTGGTTGTCAGTTGGTACTGTCTTTAGAATCTTAACATGGAAAGTGCTTCCTAAATGTTCCAGAATTGATTCCATTGTCTGTGAAAATTAAAGTTGTTCACAGACTTGCTTTAATGATTTAGGATCATTGTGTTCCCCTTAAATTTCTTTTCCTTTCTTTCTTTTTTTTCAAATCTAAAGACCATTTAAAAAATATTTTTGTTTTTAAATTTTTTTCTTTTTTCTTTTTATTTATTACACTCATTTACTGTATATCATTACAGCATATGGAATGAATTTCCCCTCCAGAATATACTGTATATTATCTCGATCAAAGATATTATCATACATGTTATATTCAACAGGTAATTTTTCATTTTTTGTTTCTTAAATGTTTTGCTACTTTCCTTTTCCCGTTGTTTCCCTCCCTCTTATCCTCTGGCATTTCCCACCCTCCTCCCACATTGTCTCTGGTATCCACAGTTGCTCTCCATGCCTTGATACCATCCAATATTTCAGTTTCTTCCATAGAGTACAAACATTGGTATATATTAAGTGGGCACATGTATCGCCTCTCTTTCACAGTCTGGTTTTCTTCTTCACTTAGCAGTAAAGTTTCCATATTTGGCCCCTTTCTATCAAACACTAGGATCTCATGGTTTTTTATGGCTGAGTAGTATTCTGTAGTGTATATGTGCTGCACTCCATTCATCTGTTTATGAACATTTGGCATGGTGACATGTACTAGCAATTGTGAATAATACCACAATAAGCATGGATGTGCACATGTTTTTCTAGCTGAGTATATTTCTATTTTTTTTGAGTAGATACCCCAAATGGAATTGCTGGATCATATGGTAGTTCTATTTGAGGAATATCTATATTGTTCTCCACAGTGGATTACTAATTTGCATTCCCACCAACAGTGTAAGAGAGTTCCCTTTTATCCACAGCCTCACCAGCACTTATAATTCTCTTATTTTTTTAAATCTTAGCCATTCTGTCATAATGTATTACAAAGCTGTGATAATCAAAATAGCATGGAAGGGTTGGCAAGTGGTGTAGTGTTGAGGTGCTGGACTCCCACATGGCCAACCACAGTTCGAGTCCCAGACCTGGAGGCTTGCTTTCTCACTTGCCCTTTCTCTCTGTCTTTGTATTTCTCTGGTCAAATTAAATAATAATAGTAATAAATATAATTAAATAAATAATTATTTTTTTAAAAGAACTCACAGCATGGTATTGGCACAAAAACAGGCATGTAGACCAATGGAACAGAAGAGAGATCCTGGAAATAAACCCCAAAACATATAATCAACTGATTTTGACAAAGGGCACCAGACAATCCAGTGAGGAAAAAAACACCTCTTCAGTAAATGGTGCTGGAAAAACTGAGTATCCACCTGAAGAAAGATGAAACTGTACCCCTATCTTTCACCACTAACAAAAATCAACTCCAAGTGGATCAAAGATCTGAACCTAAGACCTCAAACTACAGAACTACTTTTGGAAAACACTGGGAAAACACTCAGAATAGGCAAAGACTTCTTACATAAGGCCCCCAAAGCACAGGCAATGATCCAAAAAATAGACAAGTGGGATTAGCAACAGGTAAAAAAAGCTCCTGCACAGCTCAAGAAACAATAATTAGAGTGAATTGATAACCTTTGGAATGGGAGAATATATTTGCAATTTATGCCTCAGATAACGAACAGATAATCAGAATATATAGGGAACTCAAGAAGCTCACCTCAGGAGCCAGTGGATGGCACAATGGTTATATTTGCTGGACTCCCACATGACTGTGGTTCAAATCCAAGACCTGGTAACTTGAAAATCACACCAGGAATGTGTGCATGCAGGCCCAAGATCCCAGGAGGAGAATGGAGGAGAAGGGATTGAGGCACGGCCATCCCCCCGGGGGGTGATTTCTCACTTTCACTCTCACTGTTTCTGTCTGTCTCTCTCTTTGGTGAGCTCTTGCTCCCTATAGCAAAAACCTCTGAGAAAGGAAAAGAAGCTCACCCGAAGGGAAAAAATAAAAAAGGGTAAATTAGCTGATCAGACAATTCTCTAAGAAGTTTGACGTATGTATAGCCAAAAAGCATATGAAAAAATGCTCAACGTCCCTTAACATATGGGAGATGGCAATCAAAACTACAATGAGATACCACCTAACAGTCAGAATAGCTAAGATTAAAACACACTTCTATGTAAGTTCTAACTCTTAATACCTGAAAATGTGATCTTATTTGTAGATTGGAACTTTACAGAGGTAATCAAGATGAAGTGAGATCATTAAAGTGGGCTCTAATCCAATAGGACTGGTGTCTTCATAAAAAGACACAGTGACATCAAAGAGAGAGGCTCATGTGAAGAGACACAGGAAGGTGGTCATTTACACACCAAGGAGAAAGGCCTGGAACAGATGCTCCCCTCTGAGCCTAAAGAAGAAACCAAACTTGGCAACACCTTGATCTGGGATCTCCACTCTTCATGTCTGGGAGGCAACACATTTCTGTTGTATTAGCCACCTAGGCTGTTGTACTTTGTCATGGCATCCTGATCTACCTTGTGTGATTACGTAATGCTGAAAGCAAACCTATGGTTAGAAAGGAATTATTATATTATCTATTACAGTGAAGAATGAGAAAATTAACATGAAATGATACAGCCGGTTCAGGTGCACTGAAAACTCACCCTGGCGACCTCATTGTATCTTTGCTTTGCATTTCCATCATTTATTTTTTAACTAAAAAAAATTATCAGAGGATGTATGGCTCACCAGATATGAGACAGAAAGAGAGAGAGGGGGAAAGTGAGAATATACCTGCTATGAGGGATGGTCATGCTGCTATCCCTTCTCCATTTCTCCCTCCTTTTGGATCGCTAGGCAGGCATGTACACGTGCAAGTGTGTTTTCCAAGCTGCTGAATCCTGGACTCATACTGCACAGTGGTCATGTGGATTCCATCCACTTTAACCAGCATGCCAACAGCTGGCGTTCTGTAGGTTCTTGATGTCCCTGTATTATCATATTTTGACTCAGTGTATTCTAATTACTGGCACTCTTTTGGCAAACTCATCTTAAATATCTGTCATCTGTGTGTTCTTAATGCCAAATATGAGCATGGCTCATGAGAATCATACCTTAGTTTTAAAGGAATAAGTACATGTATGAAGGAATGGATGAGTACATGAAGGAGAGAGAATGAGTGAGTTTTCATTAAAATTCTTGTCATAAGGGACAGATATAATCACAATCTAACATAAGAAAAAGACAAATGGAAAACACAAAGTCAAGGGATGTGGGTGTGTCCCACATAGCTCAAGGACAGGGGGAAGCCAGAGTGTGGATGTTCCAAAACCAGGAATTGAAGAGGTTTTGGCATACTGAGTCTCCATTTCTTCCATACAGGCATTAATAGATGCATCAACTATTTTTTTAGGTCCTCCTGCATACCGGGAATTTTTCTTTCTTCTTTCCTTTTTCTTGCTTTCTCTCTGTCTCTTTTTTTTAATTCTTTCTTTTTTTTTTTTTTTTTTTTTTTTTTGGAGAATTTTTGCTATAGGGCATATGTGCTCACAGGAGACACAGAGAGAAAGTGAGAAATTATACCCTCTGGCCAAACCACAATTCCTTCATTTCCATTCTTCTCTCAGGATTTTGGGCACACATGCACATGCACACAAACTCCCAGAGTGAGTTTCAAGTTGCTGGGTCCAGGACTCCATCCACAGTCAGCCATATGGGAATCCAACTCCTTAACCCCTGAGCCACCTGCTGGCCCTACCAGGTATTTCTTTCTCTCTCTCTCTCTCTCTCTCTCTCTCTCTCTGTCTCTCTCTCTCTCTCTCTCTGTCTGTCTCTCTCTCTCTCTCTAAGATTTTTGCTTTACAGCACATGTACTCACCAGAGAGACAGAGAGAAAGTGAAAAGTCACCACCCAAGGGGATGGCCACGCTATAATTCCTTCTCCTCCATTCCCCTCTTGGGATCTTGGGAGCGCACACACACATACACACACACACACACACACACACACACACACACACACACACATACACCCTGTGTTAGATTTAAGCCCCTGAGTCTGAGACTCAAACCATGGTCAACTGCAGTCCAGCTACATAACCATTACGCCATCCGTTGGTCCCATCTATCAGGCATTTTTCTAAAAGCTTCAACAGCTGTGAATGAACTTGGGTTCATCTGATGGACAAAAGTATTTCAGCTTTCTTGCTTTTACCTATTACCCTTCTAACCTAGTGACCAAGTGGCTCTAATGAATTCTATTCTAAGAGACTGATTGTAACAACATGGCCAAGACATCTACCTGGTAAGATTTACAGAGGCTTCCAGCGGCCTACCCTTTTGAATGGGAAAGAGATCTCAAAACAGGTTAGCTGGGCAGACATCCCAAAATGTTTCCACCACCATGAATGAGTGAGTATATGGAAGTGTAAAAGCCTGGAGGAAATTATTAGTTTATTTGATTCCTATTTATTGAGCACAAGAAATCTTGTCCCACTTGAATTATTTAATGAAGCTTCTCTGTGCTCCCAGGTAATGTCCATTGTGGGGGCGTCCCTTTGATCCAATGCAAGGACTGGCCAGTGGGAGCTCTATTATCCTGGTTACAAGTTCATCTCCTAAAATCCCCTCAGCCAGACTAGCGAGGGTTGGGAACACTGTTTCAGCACTCAGCATCCATCTCTCCTTTTTTTGTTGTTTTTATTTTTAATTGCTAGAGTGCACAAGTGCTTGCTAGAGAGAATAACAGAGACAGAGACAGAGCAAGAGAAGGCAAAAAGTGCTCCCTAAGGGAGCGTGGTTGTGCCATAATCCCTTCTCCTCCATTTCTTTATCCTGTCAGGACATGTGCATGCATGCATGCATGCATGGCATATTTTTCAAGCTCAGCAAATCCTATTTTCTTTCTTTTAAAAAATAACAAAGGGAACGAGTGCTTGCCAGAGACAATAATAGAGACAGAACAGAGAGAGAGAAATAGAAAGCACCTTCTCATTTCTTCATTCTATAGGGCTTGGGGAACATAAGTACATGCACACTGTATGTTTCCAAGCTACAAAGCAAAAGATTCCAACAGCAGTCAGCCATGTGGGATCAGCTTCCTTAACCACTAGGCTATGGAGCCAACACTAGCATGTTTTCTCTCCAGCTGTGAGGTGTCTACACCAGTCAGCCCTCTGAGAACTCTGGTTCTGGATATGGTCATTAGTGTTCTACTGGAACCCCATGGGCTAACCCATGTGCAGCCTACCCATTTCTGTCTCAAGGTAATTGAGTAGTCCTCTGGCCTGTAGATTCTCAGTCACCCTGCTGGGGCTGCCACCTGTTCCTGAGCAGATCTGGCCAGAGCCAGCTGAATCCTTGTAGGGAACATGGCCCCCATGGTGGCAGTGATGCTAACCATGTAGGCAAACATCCAATGTCCATCTGGCCATGCAGCTGCTCTCTTCCCTCCTTCCTCTGTCACTCCACACACCTGAGCCAAGCACCTCTCTGTGCCAGGCTTTGCTCTGGGAACTGTAAACAGGAAGGGATGACACACTCAGCTGCCAGGGTCTCCCAGTCCAGGATGTGTGAGAGGAGGGTGCCAGTGAACAGACCCTATTTAACGGGCAACTCAACATGAGCACCCCTTACTGGAGGACGTCAGCAGCCTGACCGCTCATGTGTGCCCATGAATGTCAGGTTTGAGCCCTGAAATCACCTCTCTAGAAATTGGTTCATCTTGGGAAACATGAGCCTGTAGGTTTCCTCCACATGACATTACCCAACCTCCCCAGCAAACTGACCTATTTTCTATGGCCTGACACCTTCTGAAATTCCTGTGTGTGGCCTCCAGTACCCGTGAACCTCACAGGACATGGATGCCATCTGACATGTATCTACATTCCCAGAGAAGATCCAGTCAGGAAGAAAAGATGTTATCCAGTGACTAGGTCCAAGAATCAGCTAGAAACCTCAGTCTTGAAAACACTTGAGGCTGCTGGGGATTACCAGCCTAGAGGCAAGGGAACTCTGGAAGGATAATGCATTGCCCTCCAAGTATAGGGCTGCAGACATAGTCTCAGCTCAACCTGAAGAAGAAGTGCATGATAGAACTAAGTAACAGCAGGACCAGCTTCTGGTGAGGGAGTGAACTCCATGTGGCTGGGATGAGCCCAGACCTAGGAGATAATTGGGTGTGCCTCAGGGACCACCCGCTGGTCACACCTAAGGCTTTGTCCTATGGACCTGCTGAGCAGCCTCTGAGAGCCCAGCCACCTGGCCCTCCCTGCCTTCTACCTACCTCTTGCTTATGCCCGAAGAGCCAGTGGGAGGGAGGGGACGGGAACTGCTGGAGGGCTCTGAGCAGCCACTGCCTGTGCAGGTAGAGCTGGGCTGCCTTGAGCAGCAGCAGCAGCAGGCCCAGCAGGGATACCCCTTGGAGGAGCCTGGACAGGCCACCTGGGAAAGTGCTGAGGCTCAGCAGAGAGATGCTCATGGTGCAGTGAAGGCCTCAGTACCACTGACTGCCCCTGGCTGTCACTGACTGCTCCTGATACCTGCCCAGTGCTGGGGGGTTTGCCCCACCCACTTATGGGGAGGGGAGGGAGGACAAAGTTTGAGCTCAGTGTCTAGGGGTGATTGACCGGAGGCACTCCTTGGGAAACAGGAGAGGAATGCGTTATCAGTGGACAGTGGTGATGGCTTGTATAGGCCCACATTCCCCTCTCCATGTCACTCACAAGTATTTTAGGGCACCTACTATGTGCCAGGCAGTGTACAGGTGGCAGCATGTAGCTGCAGGGAGAGCAGACATGATCCCAACAACAAGGAATTCACAACCCAGTTGACCAAATGCTCAGTAGGTACAGACTTTTTTTTTTACTGAGTAACTGAACACAGAGATAAAGTGGTGTGCTCAGAGGCAGTCACTGGAGGTTGAGGAGGAGTTAGGACCCTTCTCTGTGGTACTCCTAACTTGCCTACTGTGCTGCCTCTGAATTGTTCTGAGCTGGTCCCATCCTCTCCTCAGTTATGGCCCAGTGCCTATGCTGATGGATGGAGCCCAGACTTGGATTCAGGAGGCTCAAGCTTCAGGCTCACTGCACAGGTAGCCAACAGCGCCCTCTGAGCCTCAGCTTCTTCTTGTATTAGGTGGAGTAATTCCTAACCTCAGTACCTCATAGGTCTTTTATTTTTCTCTCATTCATTGAGAGTCTGCTGGGCTGACCGTCTAGTGGGTAAAGGCAGAAAGTAAATTAGTATAGTTAAATATGATAAGGCTTTCCGGAAAAAAAATAAAAGGCCCACTCAAGGAAGAAGGAAGCTTAAAAAAGGAAACTAACAAAAAGAAGAAGAAGAAGAAGAGAAAAGAAAGAAAAGAAAAGAAAAGAAAAGAAAAGAAAAGAAAAGAAAAGAAAAGAAAAGAAAAGAAAAAGAAAAAAAAAAGAAAAAGAAAAAGAAAAAGAAAAAGAAAAAGAAAAAGAAAAAGAAAAAGAAAAGAAAAGGAAAAAGAAAAAGAAAAAGAAGACTAAAGAAGAATCATTGGGTCTTAAAAGAGATACAAGAGACGCCGGCCCCCTTCTGGGGGCGCCGCCGCGCCGGACGGCCGGCTCCCCTCCGGGGCCCCGCGGCCGGGGGCTTCTGCCCCTGTACAGCCGAGAGCCAGACTGCCACCCCCCCTCCGGGGGCCCGGCCTCCCTGACCTCTCGGGCGCTGGATGGCCCGGAGGCCCAAAACAAGGTTGAAGAACTTGCAACTTGAGAAGATGATAGCTACCAGCCCTCATTACCTCAGGGGAAAACAAGAACTACTCTGCCATTCTTAAGGAAGCCAGATACCCAAGGACAACTCACATTGCAGATCCCCACAACACCATTCCTGGTAACTACAAGATGACTGCTGTGCCGCATCAGCTGATAATCATCCCTGCGTACCAGA